GAATGACAGGTACAATATATATCCATATATATAGATTCAAATTTAAATGACTTCGAGTCCTTAATTTATTAATTTAAACTTAAATCTTCAACTAGGACATATCTATTATTAAGACTTATTATACTGGATAACTGGTTCTGCAAATTAAGTAAAGTCAGAAAAACAGTCTTTATTTATCACCTGTTCAGATGATAAATAGAGACTTGTTTTTCTGCCATTCGGCCGTTTGAGTAAAATGATTGATGCGGGATAACATTTTTCTTTCAGTTAACCCCTTATCCCTTAAAGTAACTGAAACTGGAAAAGACGATGAAACTACAAAACATTACGTACAGTACAGTACATTGAGAGCGATACAAAGTTATCTAGTGGATGAATTCGTGTGAGTTGCGGTCACCTGGCATAACTATTCGTTTAGCAATATACATTTTGCTAAATTTCCCATTTTTAATGTAAACATATGATTAAGATAAATTGGAATTGTTATGTTTAAGAAATTTTTCGTGCAAATAATTTTACCCACAGTGTGATGTAAAAAGTAGCAACGAATTTTGAATAGCTTTTGGTGCCGTTATAATATCAAGCATTGGCAGAAAATTTTCCAGGGGACAATGCTCAATCAACAAACTTCATTTTTTAGCTGCTGATGGCCGTAACCAGTCAACCTGTAATAAAATCTCAAGTCACAAAGCGTCCCTTGGTCAAGGGTGTAAGGTTACATATTTCATTCACTTAAGATTTGTGGAATTTTTGTTGGGATAAAAAAATCTTAATCATAGATTTTGGACCACCAGGGTAAACTGTATGATGACGTCGCGACATTTGTCCAATAAGATTGTATAACGAGAAAATACGGAAAATTTAAAACATGTACAGCCTTTTTGTTTAATTCTTTCACCTTGTCTTGTGTAAGATGTATTGATTCTATGTTAAATTGTATTAAAGCTATTCTTTGTCTGTTAATTTCCGTATGTCTATTCTTGAAAAAAAAACTCAAGAAAGATACAAACTGAACAATTTTTTACGCGATTCCGGGGAGGAGTAAATGCCCCATTTGTTCCCCTGAGGATGCCCATGATATCAAAAGTATTTGTGTTTGCTAGCTACACACCGGAAGAGGCTTTTTTGTAGAAGTTACGTCGTTCATAAAGTCGAAGTGCGAACAGAAGTTGCAGGTCCTCTTCCCGTTCATAAGTCACTTCTAATTTCTTTTAAATACGAAACGTAGTAATTAATAGTTTATATAGTAAATATCACAATGATTATTTTGTATTACAATTGCTAAGTAAGTTATTTGAAAACTTCTAAATTTAATTTCTTCAATGGATTTGCTTTATTTTATAATCGGTTATATCAAAAACTAAATTCAGGCAAGAACATTTTCTTAACCGAGATTTAAAAAAACTATAGTTAAATATCTTATTATAATCAATAAAATGCTTTTGAATTGATATATATATATATATAGTATTACAGGTAGTTTGTTTCCGGCATCTATGGGACCAGAGTGATGTCGAATTACTAGAATTTCAGTACTTCCGCAAAGACAGCCAGATGGCTGAGCGAAAAAGGTGACAACTTACCACTCTGGGAGACCCGAAATCAAAAAATTCCTGGAGTTTTTCGATCTCGGGTAGTCTGTATTGAAACCATTCCCTTCCAATCCCGAGATAACTCGGGCAATTTACATAGCGCTACAGAAAAAATGGAAGTTTGGATCACGGAATTTTTTTTTTAATTTTTGATGTTTTTACACACGCGGAAAAATTTTATAGCGATTTTAATGACGCGCGATTAACACTAGCTATTTTTATGGCTTTTTGATATCAAAGTACATTCATCGTTCTAAAGTTCTAGTGCACGGGTTTTACTTCGGTAAAGTTATTTAAAGCTATTTTCGGATGTCAAAAACGACATCCAATAGTGAAACAAAGAAAAATAAACTTCGAAACTTTCTCTTCAAAAGTAATGCATTTATGTCGTTTTTTTCACTTTTAAGTATTTTTTATTGATTTTGTTTTTTATGTTTAATTAAATTAAAAAAAACCCTTGAAATTGAAAGACAGGCTATCTTAGTGTCCACAGGGCGCAGTTTTTCCGCAAAATTCGCAAGTTTTTCGTGATCTGACTATTATTAATTTGACGCCCGGCACTAAATATGGCAAAACTGTTTTCGTCTTTCTCGAACTTACAATTAGCTATTGTTGTATAATTGAAGGATTAAGAACTTAAATTCAGACCGGATTGATATCTCGATCCTGCATATTAGGAGGCACGTTACAAGCATGGCCTATGACCTAACAATTATATTTTGCTATTATGACTATTCATTTTTAAAAGCGTTAGTATTTTATTGGAGAAATCATATTCAGAAAACCGTCCCCTTGAATACGAGATGATATTGAATAAATTTTAACCAATCGTGCTTATAGAAAGATATAAATTTACTGTGTATTTTATTTCGATATAATATGCAATGGGTTAATACTGTAATTTAACGCTATTTTGCATATATGATAAAATTCAATTAATTTAAAAATTATGGGTTCCTTAAAAAAGGATACAGAAATCCGTTTTCCTAGTCATATTTTATTTCCCGCGATTACAATGAAAAAATGAAAAGTGAGATTCGGTCCACGTACACAAACCACGTTATGGAATGTCCTATAAGGCCTATACGTATTATATAGCAATATATGTAAAACTCGTTTTCGTTCAACTTTCTACTAATAAAAATTTTTAAAAATAAAATAGCTACTGTATTTGATATTGAAATTTAACTGTTAATTAATAATCTATATAAATTTCCTCTTCCATTCTAGCGCATTTCGAATATTTTGTGAAAAAAGACTTATTTTGACACAATTACAGCGGAATTATCTTATTCAAATTATAAATTTCTCATATTGATGTTCAAGGGAAAAATTCCCATAGAAATACATAAATTTTTAATTGGGTTGAAAAGGATAATCGAAAATTGTTCAACAAATAAATTCATATATGAACTTATTTGTTGAGTATTTATAATAATAGAACGAGAACAATTTTTGAACAAAGTAAAATATATTTATTTTAATAATAATTCAACCATTAACAGCAGTAAGTAAACCGGAATTAATTTAAATGATACAAGTTCGTTTTTATTGTCGACTATTTTATGTTTTTGTCGTGCATAATTTTTTATGCATCTAAAATGATTTTAACTTACTTTTGCATGGCTAATTTTATTCATAATAATGAAAAAAAGTTATCAAGCTGATTTAATGTTTTTTAATCAATTTATTTTGATTTTTAAAATAATAACTAAAATACATAGCATTTATTCATTCTTTATTCAATAACTTTTACAAAAAGGCAGTATGTGTGATGCAGAAAACTACCAGAAATATGAAATAAACATTTTAAAAATAACACAATGAGTGAATATAAGGCATCACATTATACATATTACGAAATTTACATTCTCTAGATTAATACAATAACACAATAGTACCTTAAAAATTTTCATCATAAGCAAACATCTTTTTTTACATTAATAATTAATATTGAACTTTCCTGGAACCATTGTTATTATTATGATGGGTTTTGTGAGATACTTGGTTGACACAGGTGGGTGTGTCCAGAGTCAAGGCAATAGTAACCAAAACAAGACAAAAATTAAATAAGTGTATCAGTGTTTGTGTTTGTATTCAGGAATATCCTAACAATATGACATGTATTCAATATAGTGGCCTTCTGTAGTGTGATGTATGTGTTCCTGTTCAATTGTAATGTTCCCAGGCTTTTGTGTAATGTGTGTGGTATGACACACGTAGAGGAGAGAATGACAGGTACAATAAGCACCCTATCCATCCTCCACAGATGCCTTATTTCCTGGGCAAGTTCTGTGTACTTGCTGATTTTTTCAGTGCATGTGTTTTGTAGATTGTGAGTGTTTGAAATGGCTATGTCTATAATGTATGTGATTTTATTGTGTGTGTCAGTGTGATGTCTGGTATGTTGTGGTAAATTGTTTTATCTGTGATTATGGTTCTGTCGTAGTACATTTTGTGCTTGTTGTTTTCCAATACTGTCTGTGGGATGTATTTGTAGTATGGTTCGTGGATGTCTAATAATTTGTGTTTCTTTGCAAGCTCTTGGCGTATTTTATTTACTACTTGATTGTGTCTATGTAAATAATCTGTCTGTGCCAGGAGTAATGTGTTGTATAGATTTTCTGGAATATGACATTTTCTGCATGTGTGTTGTATCTTTGAGTATGTATTTTCTGTAGTTTTTAGTATTTATGACCTGATCCTGTATGGCAATCATAAATCCTTCTGTCTCTCCAAAGATGCATCCCCAATCTAACCAGCTGTTTGATGCAGATTTATCAGCAAAATCCTGGGCCAGGCAATAGGGATGGCTGCCATGGAGTGCCCTTTGAATCCACAGCTGCTTAATGGTGTCTTTGCTTTTTATATGTTGTGTTGTATCCATATGTTGTGAGTGTAAATTTAATGGTGTGTAATTTGAGTCTGCTAGAGTTACTGCTTTATGTAACTGTGATGTTTCTTGTTTTTCGTAGAAAACTCTTGCAGTATCTGCATTTGTTTGTAGTGAAGGTTTACTATGTCATCAGGCCACATCCGCCATCTTTACGTGGAAGGGTTAACCTTTCTATGGTGAATTTAGGATGATAATTTTTATGCTTAGTAAGAGTTGTTATTATTATTATTAAAAATCTGTATTATTTAATTATAATTTTTTAATTAATTAATAACATTAACATTATGTAGTAAAATTAATATATTTAATTTTATTTATAATTAACATTTATTTATTTATAATTCATTTATTTATTTTACCTTATTAAAATTAAATCTATATCTGTTTTAACAGCTTCTGTGTTGATATTTCTTTGAACATTAAATAATTAAAATTCACATAAACACAATTAAAATTCTTTTTGATTTTACAAAAAGAATTTTAGTTATTGAGATTTCTTAGTATTTTTCAAACTGTTTAAAATCATCTTATTGTATATTTTTTTTGTTTAATATTAATTATTCCAAACTTTAATTTTTGATATATAGTATGTAATATGTATTGGCAAATCAAATACATTGCTATCACAGTTTACATGAGAGTTATATTCTTGAAGCATGAAATTATGACAATTATCTAATAGAAACAAATCGCAATTCAGAAGAATGCAGTTTCCTGAATACATCAATTTGTTAACAATGGAAGAATTCTTCTCAGTTCATTTTTTTTTTATGCATAAGAGATTTTTAATATAAACAAAACTTTCTAAAATTAATGTAGAACTAAAATACAATTTATAACCAGTTACAAATTTTATCTTATTGTATGGTATATTATAAAAACTTTCAGAAAAAATTATTTAGATTTAACAGTTACCTGTACAATAGAGTTTGAAGAAAAAAGTGAGTGTGATAATTGTAATTTAAAGAAAAACCAAAATAATTCACACTTTTCCTCTTCCAATAACCTTTTCCCTCTTTTGAGTAATAATTTTGTAAAACATTTTAATATCCTATATGATCATACAGAGCATTATTTTAATTTTTATGAGTATAATTTTGTAATGGATATTGATTTTGTCAATGACATGCCCTGTTATTTGTAAAAAAGGATTGGAAATATTATTTCAAAATCACGAAATTGCATCTGTACTGTATCATCATCAAGACACAGTGGACTCTCGTTAGCTTTAACTAACCAATGATATGAAGTTTTGATGTCCTGGAAGAAACCATATATCAGAGGTGGGCAAACATGCCAAAATAGCATGCCAACAACTTTTTACCAGAATGCAACCCAGAGCTAATCTTAAAAAATGAATATCCAATGTCTTTGCTGACTTGTATATTTTAATATAATATAATATAAGTTTACCGAGTATAAATTTTGGTTGGCACATGATTAAATTTTGCATTATACATTTGTCAGTTTTAGTACACACACCTAAAAAGGTTGCCAACCTGTCCTATAGTTTATGCTTAATGAGGTTACCTTAAGCAGAGTGAATGGCTAAAGTCATTCTTTCCTTTAGTCTGAAGTGTAATACAGAATCATTATCTAAAATAATCAGGAGCAAGACAATTTTGGACAACTGATAACACTTAGTAGAGAAATAATTAAAAGATTACATTAAAGTAAAAATATTAATGTTATGTATCTATCTAGTGCAACAGTCAAAGAAAGTTAATACATGAATGATAAGAGATAACAAAAAAATTGTTAAAAATAAACATTAACTTTCATTGCAATCTCAACATACTGATGAAATTGAAGAGTAAAATTTACATAACATTAAAATGAATATCATATAAAGTATAATACTCATGTAAAAATTATTTATTACAGTATTTATTTTGAAAATAGTCACTTATTTTGCTTTTTCTTTGCTTTACATAATTTTTTAAACTCAGCTAAGTCCTTAGTTTTATCATCAAGCAAGAGTGTTATGATAGTTGAAAAATAATTATAATATATAAATATAAGACGACTCTCAGGATAGAAAGATATATATCTTTGGATTTTTCCTTTGATTCTTTAATAAATAAAAACTCTGAAAACAAAAACTGCAGTCTTACAATGATTTGTATAGTAAAATATTAGCATGTGTAAACAGTAAGCTATAACTTTAATAATGATTATTCTGCAATTTTGACAAGAACAACTATAAGTTAAATGTCAATCCTTGCAGGCAGTCTGATGGATTAATGCTAACGAGAAACCACTGTGTATATATATATATATATATCATATGATTATTCTTAGATGAGTATAAAATACTTGAAATATCATCATTACCATATAAATAGAAATTCTAATTGAATCTGACATCTAATGGTATCAATTAAAAAATTTTGATTGTAATTCTTTTCATCATAATTTTCTTTTTTTTTCACAATTCACTACTACTAAAAATTAACCAAAAATGGACAAAGAGTTAATCATAATTTCACAGAAACTCAAATATGTTAATTCAAACATAGCAATAGGTTAAGTAAAATATATGAATATATCTATTAAAATTATTTATGAATGAGTTGTTATATCTAAAAAAAATTATAATAGCTAATAGCTCTTGTTGGCTCCAGTTCTGTAATGCTTATGTTTTTAATATTTCCAGCCCAAACGATTATAGTACTTTAGCAAATATTGAAATAATTTTCTTTTAAGTTTACTTAAATGAAATTTGTTAAAGTATGTCATCAGTAATTAATTATATTAACTAACTGAATATGAATAAATAGGAATAGATTTATAACTAAAACAAACCAGAATTGTTTTTCATGCAGATTATGGTTCAAGGAAAATTTTTGACTCACAAGAGCAAAGCTGCAGTAGTTCCAATCTCTTCATCTTGAAAGGGTATTTTCACTGAGATGATAGCAGACAATTTTTTTGGCAGTAGTCAGTAGTGGTCCAAATAAATACATCTTACTGATGATCTACCGTTCCTTTGAATCGTATTTAGCTCGTGTCCCCCGGTGGTTTGTTTAAATGCAAAGGACTTTTGCGATGTACCGCATTTCCTATGCAAATTATTAATACACAAACCAAGAGAGACAAGGGTTAAGCACGCGTCAATTTAGTAAATCACTAGTAAAATGTACCAAAACGTTTATTGCTGAAAAAACGATAAAATCATTTATAGTTTCAATTTGTCTTAACATTCTTTTTAAATCCGAAAGCATAATAAATTAATCTATATTTAAATTGTACTATTTTATTTAAAATTACTACTTTGTAAAATATAAAATTCAGTAATGTCAGAGTTCATTCCAACCTGAAATCATCAGCACGTTATCAGTATTTTATATTTGCTTCAGGAGAAATAGTTTTATTAATTACATACTAAAAATGCATCATACATTGAATCCTATAATAGATAATGAAACTATAATTGTCTTCACGTTTAAATAACAATTAATATGTAGCATTTTAACAATCATATGAAAGGTCTAATAATGGACTGATTAAAATCTAGACACTGTTTAAAATCTTATGAAAAATATTTGTATAAATTGCATTAATAAAATTTCTTTCATAATTAGACTAATAATGATTCAGATACTTAACAAAACTCTATTAATTTTAATAAATATATTTCAAATATGAAGTAAATTTTTATCAGTAAGTCAGTTTACTCTTAAATTTAGTTTTGTTAAATAAATAGTACGAATTCAACAAAAATAGATATTAAATGATACAGAGCAAAGTAATTTTATACTTATGATTATACATTGTGAAAAATTATGTAATGCAATAAAATTACATAATTCTTCAAATGCATTTAATTAAATTCTATTAGAAAGAAAAAGAATTATATTTTTATATTTTCATAAAGTTTTGAAATACAATCATATCTAAAAAAATTGATTTTTTTTCATAGTTATCTTTGTAAATTTAACATGAGCTGAAAAATATGTCAATCATATTTAATTAATTATTATAAAAAGAATCATTAAACTTGAGCTATAAGTAAAATTAGAATAATTTTTAAAATTAAATTTAAACATGTATAACATTTACACTAATTAGTTAAAATGTTTGTGTGAATGCCAAATATAGTAAATAAATTAATATAGTCTATAATATACTTCACCAATCACAATACTTTTCAATTTGCTCATCCATTATGCTTATGACATATATTATTATTAATGTAATAAAGATATGATTCAAGAATTAACTAACTAAAATATTTAAATAACTAACTTTTTATTAGTTAAGATAATTTTCCAGTAAGTTTTTATTGTTAATTTTACCACTATAATTCTTTTAATTACTATGTAAATATCAAATTGAAATGTCCTTTAAATACATATCTACATATTATTTGAAAAATACTTTCAAAAGTACAATTTGATAAGTCTATTCATCAAATTAATATAATATATTTTGAATACTGAAACTATTTTCAGAAATGCTCATTTTAAAATAACTAAATTAATTCAAATTACTTATTTAATTTTATTAAACAAACAGAAATCCTGAATATCACCAACACTATGAAAAAATTATATCTACTATAAAAAATAAGTTATTTTTAATTTGTTATTAATTTATTATTCTCTTAAATGGCAAACTAATATTAGAAACATTTATAGTTTTAAATTTGAGAAACCTATAAACAGTGAGAAAAAAATATTTTAGAAATTATTACAAATTCCATTCTTTTTCTTACTGATTTTATTAGTATATTATATAGCTCATTTAATAATGAGAGACATTTAACTGCATAGATATAAATTTAATTTTAGAATTGACAGAATAATGGAAAATAGCCATGATTTAATAACTATTTGTATATAAGCTTTAAAGAACAAGAATTTGCATCCTTTAAGCCAAATAATTCCTAAAATTCTATCCACCTTAAAACTAAACATACACTTTTAGTCAAATGCCTGCCAAAATTAAATGATCTTATATGTATATAATTAATTTAACGTATTCATCTGAGAAATATTAATTTTACTAAATGAACAGTGGGGAAAAAAATCACTTGAACAATTTTATTTTGCAAACTTAGAACTTGTACACTTTTATCATTCTATTCCATACTATTAAATGTAACTTCTACGTAAACAGTTATCTATGATGATATCATATGCAACATTTGACAATTACAGCTAATTGCTGCATCATGTACAATGTATCAGGTCCTTATCTTAACTGAATTAAAATAAGATTTAAAGAAAAAGACACAATATTAAAATGTTGAAATAACAACATAACATTCATTATATTGAAAAAGATATTTGATTAAAATATAGAAATAAAGTTCAAATAATTACAAAATCTCAACAGAAAATGGTTACAGGTTTGTGGTTTCCAAAATTTTTATTGAATTCTGGCCATAACTGAATATGTAAACATTTATTTTTTGTAATACAGTCTGATGAATATATCTTTATTCAAACCATTATTTGTAATTAAGACTACTAGAAAACAATTAAAGTATCATAAACTTAAATTGTCCCATAAATGTAACTGGCTGCATCAAAATTGCTATTGTAAATTAAACAAAAAATACTATATCTTAAATTATCAAACTAATAAAAAATAATATGTAGTGCTTTACATAAACAAGACAATTTCTAAAAACTTTCTAATGACAGATTTTCACAATGTCAATCATCTCAATGTTTGGGAGAAAGCTTTAAACATGAATTCACAATACACTATTTATATATGGAATAAATTTTGTAAAAATTTTAAAATACTAATTCAAAATCATCTTGTTCCACTGGTTTTCTCACCCAGGTTCCTAAACCTGCTCTCTTAAATGCTTTTCGTAATTCTTCTTTTGCAGCTTGATAACTAGCCACAGAATTTTTTGCTTCTGAATATAAATTTGGCTTTTTATTAATTTTTTGATTTGTAACAGATGAAATTTTACCATATAATTTAATAAAGTGATCAAAGAATGATCTTTTACTTAATCTTGAAACTTCTCCATTTTCTAATTTTCCTGTTGTTGCATTAATAATTTCTGGTCTTCCAAATCCAACAGTCCAATTAACACTAAAATTTGGAGTTTTGGCAAACTGTGGTTTTTCAGGATTTGATACACAGCACATTTTAGGCTTTTTCAAATAATAGTGTTTAGGCAGTCCTTCAAGTGAATTTTCAAATCGGCTCCACATGGCTCGAAATATGTGTCCAGGATGAACTATACTTCCAAAAATAATACTTTCGAGATATATTGGCTCGACAAAACAACTGAGCAATGCTCCCTGAATTCCTAATACATTCCAAGAAGCAATTTTATCAGAACAGGACATTGTTGTTAATTTTTGATGTCCTAGACTAATTGCATCCCATGTTTGAACCTCATCTTCAATCTTAATAGGCATGGTTCCTTCTCTGTTTTCAAGCTTCATTCTTAAAACGCCCCTAGCTCTACGAAATGGGCGACGTGTTTGGCGTTCTTTGGCAGCAGGTTCGTCTGGCAAAATTATTCTTGCATCACCACAGGGAGATGTACTAATATAAAGATGAAACTTTATATTTGGCTTCAAACGATAACCCCCTGTTTTCTCAGCAATTAAAATTGAATCCTCTTTTTGTCCAACAGCAATCAATTCTAAATTATAATATAAAAAGTTCTTTAAGCATCGTCTTGCAAGTATTTCTGCATGACAGTCATTCAAGCAAGCACCATTCATACTGATATTTTTCCCATTAATACCTTTGGTACCAGTACTAATGCCCACAATTTTTATTTTATTCATTTCAGGATCAGATGTCATTACAATTCCTGCTAATACTTTCCATTTTGCATAATCAGTATTACCAACCATGATTTCTTGAAATGTTTTATGAATAACATCAGATATTTTATCTGCTATTGCTTGAGGAAACACATATGCTTCTGGAATTGATACTTTATTTGTAGGTGTTTCTGAAGAGGTGATTCCATATAAACTGCTCAAAGCAGATCTTGCAGCTGCAGCCTTTGCTAACTTTTTATTTTGACCAGAACCTTCAAATGTTATACCATTAATACAAACACTCATAGTAAATCTTTCTGATGGTACTAATGCATTCTCTCTAATTAAATTAAATTCACTTCCAGGATGTACTTCATTTAATAACATAACAGGATTCTTTTCTTCTTTTTCCAATATTTTCTGTGTTTGATTCTGTTTTTCTGTTATGTTTGTATCTTCTGTTGGCGAAATAATATTTTGCTTTTCTCCTCCAAACTGATTAAAATTCGATGTTTCATTTTCAACATCATCAGTAGTAAAATCACAACTATTTTTTCCAACAGGTATAGCAGCTTTTTGAGTATTCTGAAACTGATCAAAAGTAGCTAAAGCAAATTCAGCTGCTGCACATTTTGCCATCTGTTTTGAGTGACCCCGTCCTGTAAATTTTTGGCCATTAACTTCAACTGAAACAATGAATGTAGGATTATGAGGTGGACCTTCCTGTGAATCTATATTATAGTGCAGACCTGGTTTCAATTCATTTAATCTCATTAATGCATTCTTTGGTTGAGTGTTTTTTGGTATCTTTTTCTTCTGTTTTGATGGTAAAATATCTGCATCTTCACTTTTCCTTTTCAATGACTCATTTACATTAGCTTTTAAACCATTTTCTTCTTTCATTTTCACTTCAGTATCACCTATAAAATAAATATATATAAAGTTTGCTAAATTTTTCTAAACTACAACATGATTAAACCAGAAAATTTTTATGAATTAATATATTCTTATTTAAGAAAATTTAAATACAATGTTCTCAGAAGGTTTAATAAATTTTAATGTTACAAAGCTTTTCAATATAACCCAATTATAATTTCACATGCATTTACATTCTTCTCAATTTATACAGAAGAAAATATCAACTGAATATAAATATCTGCTGCAAGTTCTAATAAACAAAAACTCTTCAACATAACAGATGAATTCATGTTTCATTTCATTGATGAAGTTGAGCATTTTCCATGTCTTCAAGTACTCCTTGTTTTAAATTCTACTAAAGCATGATGTGTAGGATAATTCAAATAAATGATGTAGCCTGCTTTAAACAAAAAATAAAAATTTGCAATGTTGATTAGTAAATATAGTTTGCATATATACAATCTGTAAGCTTTAAATATAATTATATCCATGTAAAATAATCTTTACAAACATTTCTCAGATATAAAAATGTTTAATGTAAAAGCTTTTAGCCAAAAAATTGGTAAAACTTAACATATACTAAATTGTAACATCATATTTGATTTAATCAAAAGCCTGATAATATTCAAATGATACATTATATAAAGGATTTGAAAGGGCCAGGCCTAGACTTTGCATGGGTAATAAATATAAAGAAAAATCATTATTAAATCAAAAATCCAAAATAATTACTATATGTAATGCAAGAAAAAAAATCTATTTATTAGTAAAAGCTTGAATATGTACAGTCAAAAAATAATGTTAAAGAAAAAGTTGTAAAATATAATAAAGATAATTTATCAAAAATCCAGAAAACAAATATACATAAAACTTTCTCGACAATTGGAGACTTACAAATTAAATTATAACTATCTTAGAACTATCTCCACAAAACTGACAATCAAAATATGAAAAGATATTGAAAAATCAACAAATCTTACTAATTCATCACCAAGAAACTATGTCATCACTGAAACTGGAAAGCCTTTTGTCAATCTCACTTGATCCTTAGCTCACCTTCTTCCTATAGTGTGGTTGGGGCGATGTTATAAGCATATGACCACTTGACCCTATTTACATACTTAATCGTTAACATTTCATTCATTCTAGTAATCAGTCTTGTTTATTCATGTCATCTCCCTTACAAGCAATTTTATAATTTTTTATTGCATTTCCAATGACAATTTGGGGAGGAGATCATTCTTTTAACTTCTTGTGGAAGTCTCTCAAGATGACGTCATAAGTTGCTGCCAGCAATCGTCTTAGTAAGTAACTTTTGAATTTTGTCCCAGTGAGGTACAGTAGTCTATCCTTAATAAAATCAAAATGCCCCAAAATAAATAGAACAACAATGTAAAAATAATCCCCAAACAAAATAGAACAGGTTGGAATCGACTCCTTACAAAATTTGTTTTTATCATAAGTTTTACAATTCCATGCATGGAAAGAAACTGCTAGAAAAAGAGTGAAAGGTTTTGTGAAACTTATCATACATTTATTTAAGTACTACATTTTCCACAAATCATAACTGCTTATATGCCAGAACTTATTTATAAATACAGTAATTTTCTTTGATTTTATTGTCACTACCTGTAAAGAAATTTTTCCAATGAAAAGTCTAGGATGGTTGAACGTAAACAGATATAGTTTAAACTTCTTAAATTTCAAATTAACTTAATATAATAATAATTTAAATTATTATACAAGGGTCATTTAAAATGTTCTCAGAATAAACTAGAGATGTGAAGCTTCAGTGTAGTGAAATGTTTAATCTGTAATATGAGCATGTGTGAAATTTGAAGTCATTCTAGCAATTACTTTATTGTTGATATCTATTTAAATAAGACGTTTATTTCATGTTGTTTACAAAATGGAAAAAGTGAACTTCATACAATTATTAAATACAGTAGAGCGTCGATTATCCGAATCAATTGGGAACTGGGGTTGTTCGGAAGATCGATGTTTCGGATAACCGATTATGTACGAAAAAATATATTAATTTATCCCATCTTGACATTTTTCTTCGTTGCGTGTCGCTTTGCATTGAATTTTTGTCGATGTTAAGCCTAACGAAGACTATCGTATCGTTAAAAATTTTTTTTATTTTGTACGAACAAAATAAATATATTGAAAAATATAAAAACAATAAAAAATTATACTTCAGAAGTTAATTCAGTATCAAAAACGTAAAATACTTGAGTAGCCCAAGACATAGCCAAAGATTGCAGTGCCACAGCACTGGCAAAAATTTAAATTTGCCGACTGGAATTCTTTCAGATGACTGACGTTTCGGATGATTGACTTTCGGATAATCTACGCTCTACTGTATTTTATTAAAAAAGGTTTATCAACAAGAAGTTCATGCATGTATGAATAATTCTATAGGGTATCTCTGCTCTATTTTCAACAGTTTCCAACTGGACTAATGAATTTAAATTAATTAATTAAATGTAGTTGTGAAAGCCTAGATGACAATTCACGCAGTGGACATCAAAAAAGTTCAACATCAGAAATCATTAACAAAGTTCATATAATTTTGCAGCAAGTTTGATAATTAAAGATATCAAATATTGCTAAAGCTGTATTCATCTCAGACAGATTGGCATTTCATATTTTGACTGAAGAATTAAATATCAGAAAATCAGCCACAGACAGGTGCCATGTTGACAAGTAAACAAAAAATGCATCATTGTTCAAATTTCTTAATAGTGTCTGGACCATTTCAAGAAAAAAAAAAAACAATCAATTTTGTGAGCAATTTGTTCCACAGATGAGATTTAAGTCCACCACTACACACCAGAAACAATGGGCAGTCAAAACAACGGAAGAATCTGGATGTTTAGTATCAAAGACAAAGGTTCCATCTAAAGGAAGGTCGTGACTTCAATTATTTGGGATGCTAAAGTAATTATACTAATAAATTACCTTCCAAAGACTAAAACAGTAATGGGAGAGTACTATGCTAATTTTTTGTACCAATTAAACAAAAATATCCAAGAAAAGAAAAAGGTCATCTTTCAATAGAACGATGCCCCTGCTCATAGAAGTTCTCTCTCAATTGGGAAGATCAACAAACTGAAGTACAATTTGCTGTCACATTGTCTTATTCATCTGATTTAGCTCTCCAATTTCTATTTCCAAACCTGAAAAAATTTATTTCTGAAAATAAATTTCCTTCAAATGAAAAAGTAATAGTGAAAAATTCATGGGGAAGACCCTTTTTCTCTGGCATTCTAATAAGAAATCCAATTTTGCTCTAGCCCTATGACCATATACCGCATACATCTCCCAAAAGGATGTAAGTCCCTATTACCGAAGTTAAGTGAAAAAGTCACAGATTAAAATCGTTTTATTTACATTTACGTAAATGTAAATAAAACAATTTTAATCTGTATGACTGAGTTGCAGTAATTTTAAACGCCAGTTTAATAAGTCCTATTAATAGAAATACACATTGTACTGGTGAATAAAATAATATTTGAATAAATTAAGGACATTGAGGCATATTAATTTATAGGTCTACAATTTTTTCAAATTGCAGCCCAATAATAATTATCAAGTCTACTATATGGCCTTTGCTAATAAAAATATGCACTAAATATTGTACAGTTTTTCAAAATAATGGAATTTTTTATCTGAAATTCTAGATTTTGTGTNTAATTAACATTTATTTATTTATAATTCATTTATTTATTTTACCTTATTAAAATTAAATCTATATCTGTTTTAACAGCTTCTGTGTTGATATTTCTTTGAACATTAAATAATTAAAATTCACATAAACACAATTAAAATTCTTTTTGATTTTACAAAAAGAATTTTAGTTATTGAGATTTCTTAGTATTTTTCAAACTGTTTAAAATCATCTTATTGTATATTTTTTTTGTTTAATATTAATTATTCCAAACTTTAATTTTTGATATATAGTATGTAATATGTATTGGCAAATCAAATACATTGCTATCACAGTTTACATGAGAGTTATATTCTTGAAGCATGAAATTATGACAATTATCTAATAGAAACAAATCGCAATTCAGAAGAATGCAGTTTCCTGAATACATCAATTTGTTAACAATGGAAGAATTCTTCTCAGTTCATTTTTTTTTTATGCATAAGAGATTTTTAATATAAACAAAACTTTCTAAAATTAATGTAGAACTAAAATACAATTTATAACCAGTTACAAATTTTATCTTATTGTATGGTATATTATAAAAACTTTCAGAAAAAATTATTTAGATTTAACAGTTACCTGTACAATAGAGTTTGAAGAAAAAAGTGAGTGTGATAATTGTAATTTAAAGAAAAACCAAAATAATTCACACTTTTCCTCTTCCAATAACCTTTTCCCTCTTTTGAGTAATAATTTTGTAAAACATTTTAATATCCTATATGATCATACAGAGCATTATTTTAATTTTTATGAGTATAATTTTGTAATGGATATTGATTTTGTCAATGACATGCCCTGTTATTTGTAAAAAAGGATTGGAAATATTATTTCAAAATCACGAAATTGCATCTGTACTGTATCATCATCAAGACACAGTGGACTCTCGTTAGCTTTAACTAACCAATGATATGAAGTTTTGATGTCCTGGAAGAAACCATATATCAGAGGTGGGCAAACATGCCAAAATAGCATGCCAACAACTTTTTACCAGAATGCAACCCAGAGCTAATCTTAAAAAATGAATATCCAATGTCTTTGCTGACTTGTATATTTTAATATAATATAATATAAGTTTACCGAGTATAAATTTTGGTTGGCACATGATTAAATTTTGCATTATACATTTGTCAGTTTTAGTACACACACCTAAAAAGGTTGCCAACCTGTCCTATAGTTTATGCTTAATGAGGTTACCTTAAGCAGAGTGAATGGCTAAAGTCATTCTTTCCTTTAGTCTGAAGTGTAATACAGAATCATTATCTAAAATAATCAGGAGCAAGACAATTTTGGACAACTGATAACACTTAGTAGAGAAATAATTAAAAGATTACATTAAAGTAAAAATATTAATGTTATGTATCTATCTAGTGCAACAGTCAAAGAAAGTTAATACATGAATGATAAGAGATAACAAAAAAATTGTTAAAAATAAACATTAACTTTCATTGCAATCTCAACATACTGATGAAATTGAAGAGTAAAATTTACATAACATTAAAATGAATATCATATAAAGTATAATACTCATGTAAAAATTATTTATTACAGTATTTATTTTGAAAATAGTCACTTATTTTGCTTTTTCTTTGCTTTACATAATTTTTTAAACTCAGCTAAGTCCTTAGTTTTATCATCAAGCAAGAGTGTTATGATAGTTGAAAAATAATTATAATATATAAATATAAGACGACTCTCAGGATAGAAAGATATATATCTTTGGATTTTTCCTTTGATTCTTTAATAAATAAAAACTCTGAAAACAAAAACTGCAGTCTTACAATGATTTGTATAGTAAAATATTAGCATGTGTAAACAGTAAGCTATAACTTTAATAATGATTATTCTGCAATTTTGACAAGAACAACTATAAGTTAAATGTCAATCCTTGCAGGCAGTCTGATGGATTAATGCTAACGAGAAACCACTGTGTATATATATATATATATATCATATGATTATTCTTAGATGAGTATAAAATACTTGAAATATCATCATTACCA